GATGAAAGCTCAGGCCTGATTGAAAGGCTGGAGACTTACAAAAATGGACGTGCTGGCTATACCACCATCCGAAGAAATCCCGTCGCAAGGGGCTGTTCCCTTAACTTCGCTGGTGCGTGGGCGCGGGCATAGTGCTCAGACAGCGGGCCGCGCCTGAGCGGAGACAAGCTGAGTGAGTTGGGCACAATACTCTTTCATGATAGCGGAGTAGTGCCGCGATCGAAGAAAACTATCCCCGTGCAATGATTCTTCTGTCCCCTCTAGCGCTTCTCTGACCAGTGTGGCAGGCGGAATGTGCTCATCGTACTCAATTTCCCACTCCTGCAGCTCTCGGATGGAAGCAATAAGAATGTTGGCGAAAACTTTGGGCACGCGCGGATGGCCCCACTCGTCAGATACCTCGGAAGTCAGTGCATCACGGGCAGTTGTCTCAGCGGGAGCAATTGGGGCAAGAGAAGAGGTGGGAGGAGGAGGAGTAGTCTGCGCAACAGGGGCAGGCTTGACCTCATTAGCAATCACTGGCTCCGAGCTGGCGTCAGACTTTGCGATCGTGGAGTCCACAGTGCTGTCTCTATGTTCCAGGGTTGCTCGCTCCTGGGTGCCCATCATGCCGTCCTCCGAGCGGCTCTTGAGTTCGGTACAGATCTCTTCGTAGAGTGTTGTCGTTGCGAGCTCATCATCAGAATCCACCGTGCGGAGGGCGATCGTGCGGACGTCGAAGGTCATGCCCAGGAGCTTGCCAGCAGAGGGGCCGCGCCTGGTGTCGTACAGGTTCATCTGGCCATCGGGGGCGGGGGAGGGCGGGGACAGGTGGCGCCCAATACAGCGGTCGAGCCGCTCTGAACCACTACAGCCGGGCTCACCACCCTTCCCCCCAGCCCATCCCGCCTCCGCGCTCTGCCGGGCGTAGAACTTGTCGGCGACAGCGTGCGGGACTTCCAGTTCGCTCACCTTGTCTCCATGGGGCTCGCCATCGACGCGTGCATCGAGCCCTGGCGGCGTCCCGAGGCGCGCGCCCAGGCTGATCAAGCATTGATGTTTGCGCCATCGTCGAGCCTGTGCGCGCGAGCGCCTCATCGCCCCACGGGGGGGGAGGGCGCCACAGCGTTCCATCAGACTCCGATGCGGCGGCGGCGGCCCGCCGCGAGCGCGCCCGCAGCGCTCTGCGCACCGCGGCTGCGGATCGCCGCCCCCCGCCTGGCTCATGGCACGGGCGGGCGGGGTTGGGAGACCGCTGCGCATTGAAAGGCCTGGGCTGGAGAGCGGCCTTTGATGATGATGATGATGATGATGATGATGATGATGATGATGATGGTGATGGCGATGACGATGAAGATGATGGTGCTGCTGATGTGATGATGATGGTGGTGGTGATGATGTTGATGATGGTGAAAAAGGAGGAGGAGGAAGAGGAGGAGGAGGAGGAGGAGGAGGAGGAGGAGGAGGAGGAGGAGGAGGAGGAAGGGAAGTAGGAGGTTGAGGAGGGGTACAGGAAGAAGAGGAGGAGGAGAAACAGGTGAAGGGGGATGAGACAGGGATAGGGAGAGGCAGAGATGGGAAGAACAAAACGCAGAAGTGCGGAGGGAGGACCCAAGGACCCGGGATCCACGAAGGGAGAGGAAGACTAGGCGGGAACGGGGACAAAACAGGGCCGCGGCTGCCGGTTCCGAACGCCCCACGGAAAACATGGACACGCGGCGGGTCAGCCTACAGGCGATCTCTCCTGCCACTGCCGAGGTGAGGCGCTGGGAAGGCTGAGGGCTCCAGCCGCTCCGCCGACGCGCGGCGCCCTCTCGCCGCGGCGGCCGCCGACCGCGCACAGCGTGCAGCGCTCCTCGCCTCCGGCGACGACCGCCGCCGCCGACGCCCCCCCTGTGGAGGCCGAGCTGGGGACGAGCCGGAGCCTCGTCGTTCCGTGCGCTCGCGCCGCGGCCGGAGTCGGAGGCTCTCTGCGCCTGTGTCTCTCTCTCTCTCTCTCGCGCTGTCCCCCTCTTCGTTCCAGTCTGTGTGTTTGTGTGAGTGTCGCCTTCTTTTCCTCCGTCGTTCCAGCTCCCCTCCCTGGCCCCCCTTCCCTCCCACCTCTCCCGGCTGCCAGTGCAAGGCGTGCAAGACGAGGCCAGACCAGACCCCAGACCAGACCACACCCGAGGAGGAGGAGGAGGAGGAGGAGGAGGAGAAAGGGGGAGGAGGAGGAGGAGGAGGAGGAGGAGGAGGACAAGGAGGAGGATGAGCAGGAGGAGTAGGACGAGGAGGACGTGGAGGAGGAGGAGGAGGAGGAGGAGGAGGAGGAGGAGGAGAGGAGGAGGAGGAGGAGGAGGAGGGGGAGAAGGGTGTACCTGTGCAGACGTGGACTCCCCCTGGTTCTCTTCTTTCTGCTTCTCTTCTTCTTCGTCCTTCTATTCTTCTTCCTCCTCCTCCACCATCCCACTTCCCTTGCCACCGATGTCCCTCTTCTCCCCCTCCTGAGGCAGCGCAAGACCAGACGAGACCAGGTCAGGCCAGAACATATCAGACAACACGAGGGAGAGAAGGACGAAGCATCTGCACACATGTGGCAACCTCCTCCTCCTCATCCTCCCCCTCCTCCTCCTTTTCCTCTTCATCATGCACGTCCTTCCTCCTCAGCGCGTACCTTAATTCGTTCTTCCTTCCTCCTTCCCCTCCGTCGGGCAGGGCGGCTTTGAGTACTCTACCAGCGGTTTTGACGTCCTGTGCGCCCTAGTTGTGGCAGTGCTGCTGCCCCAGACGGCGCTGTGGTTCTAGACGAGCCTGGTGGCTCGGGCGATCCGATCCGATCCCCGTATCGAGTGGTCTCACATTTAGTCGCGAGGGATTCTTGCTAACAAGGAAGGGGGAGGAACAACTCCGATGCGTCCGAACGGAATTGTTTGGAGAAGCCGAAGAGGCCTCCCGAAAGAAGGGGGGGGGGAAAATAGTCCCTGGAGGGTCTGGTGGCGGCGCGCGGCACGCAGACAAAATAGTAGTTCAGCGGGATCGTTTGGTTCGGAGCTTTCGTGATGGCGGCGGGAGGCTTCTGCAATGATCCCAGGAAGATCTCGAACTATGTGTTTTCGATCAGATGCGGCCTGCTTGAGAATACGCCAATCGGTGGAAGTGTGAATTCAAAACGCCTGCGAATGCAGACGCGCTGTGGTGCACGCAATGTCTATGTGTCTGTGTGTGTGTGCGTTTGTGTCGCAAGCCTTGCTGTGCAACGGTATGATTTGGGACATGCGAACTTGGTGCGAACATAACGAGTGTGACGCCGAAGTGAAAACGAGGCCACCAAACGGAAAGTCGGTTCGGTCTCGACTCGTATCGTGCGTGATGCGCATGCGGGGCGAAACTGAGCGAGCTTCTACACCAGCTGGGCTCAACTCGCGCCACAATGAGCCGCGCCCAGGCCCCCTGGGGCGTGTCCTGGAGTTGCCCCGTGGTGGTCCCGATGACTGTCCCGATGCCCCGCGGCTGTCCCGATGGTCGTTCGGATGCTTGTCTCGATTGCTATCCCTAAGATTGTCCGATGGGGGTCCCGGTGGTTGTCCCGACGCCTGTCCCGATGAACGAACGTCCCGATGATTGTCCCGATGGTTGTCCCGATGATTGTCCCGAGGGCTGTCCCGATGGTTGTCCCGATGGTTGTCCCGATGGTTGTCCCGATCGTTGTTCTGATGGTTGTCTCGATGGTTGCCCCGTTAATGTCCCGATGGCTGTCCCAGTGGTTGTCCCGATGGTTGTCCCGATGGTCGTTCCGATGGTTATCCAGACGATTGTCCCGATGGGTGTTCCGATGAATGCGATGGTTGTCCCGAAAGTTGTCCCGATGGTTGTCCCGATCGTTTTCACGATGGCTGTCCCGATGCTTGTCCTGATGGTTGTCCCGCAATAGTCCCGTGGTGGTTCCGTTGTTGTCCCAATAGTTTTTCCCGAGTGGTTGTCCCATGCTTGTCCTGTTGTCTGCGACAACGAATCGTTCAACATCAAGCTCCACCCCCAACCTCTTTATCACCCGCAAGGTTGTCTTATCGGCATGGGAATTTGAATATGCAATCTGGGCTACACATCTATCTAAGCTCGGCGATCTCATCCAGGAAGTCTGAACTTTTCAATCTTAACCATAGTCTTGCCAACAACCAAGGCCTGAACTATATGACATTCGAGGGGATGCCAAGCTGGCTGGCCAGGAACTGGAGCTAGGCTGGAACTGGGCAAGAGTTCGGCTTGACTTGGAGCTAAGTTGGAACTGGCGACGGAGATGGAGCGAAGCTGGAACTGGGGTCGAATTGGAGCCGAGCTGGATCTGAACCCAGGCTGGGTCTGGACTGACACTGGGCAGGAGTTCAGGGTTGGGACTGGAGCTAGGTTGGAATTGGACGTGGGGCTGGAACGAGCCTGGATCTGGGCCTGGGCAGGGCCCGAAGCTGGTGCCGGGCAGGAGCTCGGCTGGAGCTGTAGCTTGAACTGGATCTGGAGCTGGGAGTCGACACGGGGCTGCAAGGAAGTTGGAGCTGCACCTGGAGGTGAGGCCGGAGCCAAGGCTGAGCTGGAGCTGTCTGGAGCTGAACCCGGGCTGGAGCTGAAGCAAGAAATCGAGCTGGCAAGGAGCTCGGCTGACGCTGGATCTGGACGTGAGGAACTGGGCTGGAGCGAAGCTTGAGCTTGGGCCCGATCTGGGGCTGGAGCTGGGGCAAGATTTCGGCTGAGGCTGGAGCTTGGCTGGAGCTGGGCTGGAGCTGGGGCTTTGCTGGAGCTGGGGCTTGAACTGGGGCTGGAGGCGGACCAGGGCTGGAGCTTAGACTGGGTTGGTGGTCGGTTTGGAGCTGGAGTTGGAGCTGGGCTGGAGCTGGATCTAGGGCTGAATCTGGAGCTGACCTGGGGGCCGAGGTTTATCTGCACTTGAGTTTGGGGCTGGATCACGACAGCATAACACGCCATCAAGCGCTGGAGATCAGAAGCAAACTCGTGAGATGAGATACAGCAACTTGGAAAAGCACCAACCGCTAGAAAGTTGGCCCTGGACGTTCACAACAAACCCTGGGAATATCAGTTCTGGAAGCAGAGGGAACACCAAACCAGCTTTCTCGACATCATTCGCAGGAGTGGGTTTCTGGTAACACGAAGAGCCAGTCAGCTGCAAAAATTGACCCTTCGTGTTGCAAGAGTCCGATCTGCTGGGGAAAAGGCCTCGCCGTACGGCCTGCAACTGCAGTCCAAATTTTGCTCGAACTGACTTTCGTCGCTTCTGGGCACATTCCTGCCCGCCAGATATCACATGATGTTTTTCGTATGGCTCAAGAAGAACACTCCGCGAAGCATTCCGTTACACGAACAAGTTTCCGACAACGAGAAGTATTTAGACCATGCGTGCCGAGTCCATGGCACTGCCGCCTTGCTGGACCACCTCAAGCATACAATGTTTGATGGTTGGCCGAGAAGAAGAAGCTGGCTGCAAAGGCTGGCTTCTGGTCATCAGAGCCAGCCCTGGAAGTGGAATTCTGGCAGCATGGAGGCTGGCTGTAAGGGTTGGCTTCATATCAACAAGTCAACCTCAGGAATGGATTTCCGGAAACTTCTGGCACCACAGAGGTCTGGCCACTCATTGAACAACGCGCCGGCTGTGAGGGTTTCGCCAGCGCCATAATACCAGACACAACTTTTAGTAATACTATGGAGGGTGCGACATGTTTTTTCTTACATGTATACACAGATCTATACCGTGAAACGTTGTATACTGAGTATCCTGGAGAGCACTGAAAGGGAGGCCACAAGGGAGAGTTGGATGGGATGACTAACACCGAGACTAGAAAGGCGTGCAAGAAAAGAGACCATGAAAGATGGACCATACGGGAGATCATACTAGAGGGCATGCGGGAGAGCATTTTGGATACTATGCGGCATACCATGTGGGAGACCACGGGCCACTGATTTCGGACCAGGAGGACCTCACAGTGGCATTGCGTAGAATCAGCACTCATACATACATATATATATATACATATATATATATATATATATACATGACACACGCACGTATACACATATAGATATATAGATGCATGTGTATGTATATGTATTTATTTATCATATATATATATTGTACATATACATTTATACAAACAGGTGTATGTCTATATATAGCCCCCCCAAGCACCCATTCATTTTGCATATTGCATCGGCCTTTGAGCTTTTCATTCGTGCTCTTACTGATCATCCGCCTTCTTTTCGTCCGTGCCTGCTCATCCATCCTTCCAACGCGTTATTTCTCCGCTGTTTTCTCGTGCTGGATTGTAATTCGATTCTGTTGGAACTGGGATCTGTTCGATTTTAATTGATTTCAAAATCGATTCCAATGAAATTCCAGTAGGGCACACCTGGATCTGGGATGTGCCCAATTCCAATTCGATATTGAATCGATTCTATTAAGACTCGAGGTGGAATCAGCTGGACTCTAACTCTGCTCTTTCCAATTTGATTAATCAGCTGGATCTGGGATCTGCCCAAATCGAAACAACTGTATCTGGGACCTGCTCCATTCCAAAAAGATTCTACTTCGATTCCAATTGGAGTCAACTTGGAATCAACTGGATCCGGGATCTCAATTCCAAATCGATTCGAGTTAGATCTCATTACGAATCCGATTGGACTCAACTGGATCTGGGATGCGTCCATTCCCGTTCGTTTCAAATTCGATCCCAACAAAGATGCAATCTTAATTAGCCGGATCTGGGATCTGCTACATTCGATTTCGATTCTAAGTTGATTCTTATAGCTATCAACTTAGAAGCAGCTGGACCTGTCCCAATGAGAACCCACTTGCACCCCAACAGGAATCTACACGTAATCAGCTGGACCTGGAATCTGCTCAATTCCAATTGGACTCTCGTCGGTTGAGGAGAAAATCCCAGGCACCCAAAACAACGCCTGTGGAAACGCAGGGTTCGCGACGCCAGGGGTGCCCAAACCTTGTATTTTCATTTTGATTTCTTCCGGGATGAGAAGTGAGGAACCATTGTGTTTTCATTCGAGTTTTTGGATTTCTGTACTTTTCAACACCTGTATTTTTCATTTCCAAGTGGAATTCCCGGCCAAGAGCCCCCGAAGGTTCAGGACACTAGAAATCACCCACATCCTAAACAACCGAATGAGAACGCAGGGTTTCCTTACTTCTCATCCCAGAGATCCCAAACATCCCTATGACAACAACGGGTTTCCGCACCCCTGATATCGCACACCTTGCGTTTTCACTCGGTTTTGTAAGATTCTGGGGATCGGAGCTCCTGGCAGGGCTCCTGGGCGGGGTTCTCGTCGGAGGGATCCAAGTCTCCCCAATCTCAGAAACCCACGCGGAAACACATAGTTTTCTTACTTCTCATCCTAGGAATCCCAAACATCCAAATGAACACACAAGGTTTCCGCACCCCTGATATCGCAAACCTTGCCTGTCCATGCGTGGGGATTGGAGCAAACGCCTTGGGAAGCCGACCCGCGAGAGAGGGGAGAGAGAGAGAGAGAGAGAGAGAAACAAACCAGATAGAACAAGATAATGGTAGAGAGAGAGAGAGAGAGAGAGAGACATGCATAGTTGTATTCTATATCTGTCTATACATATGTACAGAGAGAGAGAGAGAGAGAAAGAGAGAGAGAGAGAGAGAGAAAGAGCGAAAGAAAAAAGATAAAGAGGAAAGAGGCATACGAGGAGAAGGAGGAGGAGGAGGAGGAGGAGGAGGAGGAGGAAAAGCACCACCGTTGTAAGTGAATGCTGGAAAGAATGGGGGCTTGGGGGGGTACCTGTCCATACATCTATATATATATGTATATAGATCTGTATGTATATGTATAAATATACATACATACACAGAGAGGACCCTTGCAGACAATATGTTTAATGGACGTCAGGCCTGGGACTGGACTTTAGGCAACACAGTAATGCGACCGTCCGTGAGGGTTGGCTGCGGAAGATCAAAATGAGCCCCAGGAGTGGAGCGCTGGCAACACGACGCTCGACCAATTGTAACACAGCTGTGCCTGGCCGAAAAAATCAAGCCTGGGACCGGAGTTCTTCTGGCAAGACAACGACGTGTCCGGCTATGAGGGTTGTGCCTGGATGGTCAACATTTAGGACTGGGAACGGAGCTAGGGGAACACCAAGACTTCGGCCTGACCCACTGGTTCGGCCTTGGCCTGGTGCAAACAGCAAGGCGCATCCACTCTGATAGCTCTCGTCGGGTTCTAAACTCGCCAGCGGACGAGCAGTACCAATCGCACGCAATTGTGCGGTCCTCTTGGCACACTGGACCTTCCCGGGAGCGCAGGAGCGTGAGGCCCAAAAACGCACAAGAGAATTCGTAAGCTGTCCCCTGACTTTGTGTTTTTTCTTGCAGTGCGGACCCATGGAGGTCTCGACAAATTTCCCAGGACTGGATTTGAATCCCGACTGGCTTTTTGACGGTCACGGGGCCCGGCGATGCAGAGGCCGAACATTGCCAACAAAACCTCCCGTCGTGTTTTCGTCACCACGGGAGGGGGCCTGGGTCATACGTGCGACCTCTACGATATCAATGACTGGGTGAGGAGGAGGAGGAGGAGGAGGAGGAGGAGGAGGAGGAGGAGGAGGAGGAGGAGGGAGGAGGAGGAGGAGGAGGTGATGACCGCACGGGTGACCTCGATCGCCGCGGGGGCGCCGACGCACGCAGGGCGCCCCGAGGAGGGCGGCAGCCGGCGGCACCTCGCCGACGACGCGCCCGAGCGGTGCCTGCGGCCGAGCGCCTCGTGCCGAGCGTGCGGCTCTGCGGTGCCCCGCTGGGTGCTGCGCGTGCCGGCTCTGCGGCTCGGCGGCTCGGCGGCCGCCCGCGGCCGCCTGCGGCCTCGCGGCGCGGCCCTGCGGCCGCCCTCGCGGCGTGGCCCTGCGGCGGCCGTGTGCGGCAGCTCCGCGCGGCCGGGTGCCGCCAGCGGCCTGCTTTTGAGGCAGCCCTCGGCGGTTGGCCTCCGGGCCCTGCGGGGCCCCGGCGACGTCGCCCGCGCAGCTCGACTATCCCCCGCGCGCGCAGGCTGAAAGGGCGGAGCGAGCTCTCTCTTGTGAGGCCGGGTCCGGGCGCGCTCCACTGCCAGGGCAGCCTTGACACACAATACGCGGGCACAAGACTTTTCGCTGAATCCCCTCTCGCCCCAACGTTCGAGGGGCCACTGTGCTGTCGTTCGCGCAGCTTGGCTACCTCGCGCCCCACTAGCTCCTTGCGGCCGCTGCGCCCTAGCCGAAGCCAGGCGGCGAGGCCGAGGACTACTTACGAACGCAAGGTGCAGCTGGTCCGTGGTTGATCCGCCCGGGCCATCCGTGGTGGCTGGGCTGATCAACTCTGCGGCGATCATCTTGTCATCGCTCGGTCGTCCGTTTCCCGTGCATTTTTGGTTTTCGTGCGTGCTCTGTGTTGCTCGGTGACCCAGGATGCTCCGACTCGACGGCCCTCGCCGAGAAAAAAATGCACACGTCCGAGCGATGCCATGTGATCACTGCGAATCAATGCCACGAGGTCTCGGCTACGCGCAGAGAGTGGCCCCAGGCAGGGGTGACCTTGGGCGCGAGGCTTGCCGACCCCTGCGCGCGGTGAATAGCGGCCTGCGTTCTTGGGTTTGGCCCCCCGCGCCCTCCTCCTCCTCCTCCTCCTCCTCCTCCTCCTCCTCCTCCTCCTCCTCCTCCCGAAAGCCGCGCACCAAAGGTCACTCCAGCGAAGGGTTGCCCACCAGGAGCAAGAAAGCACGGTTCATCGCATCCTCGACCGTCCTCTGCGTCTGATGGATCCTGGCCTCCTGTGATCGCCAGTCTGAGTAGCAAGGCGACCAGGCGGTCATGACTCTCCAGGGATGTCACAGGATTGCCTGCAAGGGACTTGGAATGCGGGACTCGTTGACTATTGATATTGCTGGGGTGATCGGCAGGGCGACAAGGTGGCCAGGGATGCGGGGCTCATCAAGTCTGCTAGCGGCACCAGCAAGGGGGGCTGATGAACCCGAACCTTCTGTGATTACAACGCTGATCAGCAGGGCGACGAGGTGGTGACGACTGTGAGTGGATGTCACAGGCAGATCGCCAGGGCCTGGAATTCGGGGCTCATGAACTCTACTTTCGATCCTAGTCTGGATGATGATGAGCCTGGATCGTCTGCGAACATCAGCCAGGTCAGCAGCGCGACGAGGCAACGTGGCCTATGGATGTGCAGACCGTAATGAATCACCAGAATCAAAAGTTCGGAGCTCACCAGCTGTACCTATAGGAGGAGGAGAAGGAGGAGAAGGAGGTGGAAGAGGATGGGGCCACTATCTTGCGGTCTCTGCTTTGGCATGGCCGCCAGTCGCAGTTCTGGAACACGCCTGCGTGCTGATTATGGAACTGCTGTGCGCAATCACAGGATGAGTCTATACTTGTTACCCTCAAGGGTCACGATTGTGCCATGGTCATGAATGTCTCCCCCCCCGCGAGGTGGTAGTATTTCCACAACGTCCATCTCCCTTTCTCCGTACATCCCTGACTCTTCATACATCTCTCTGCCTCGCTATGTCGCTATCCCGACGTCCGGCCTGACATCTACGCGGCCTGTCAGACGGCATCAGAAGTATGTTGACAGCGCTGCTCGTTGCAGCGTGCTCTTCACGATGGGGCCTCGGCACTGGATTAGGGGGGAGAAGGATAATCATGGGGGCAGGGCATTGGATAGGACGGTAAGGGGGGAAGGGAGAGGGTCAACTAGGTGCGCTTCTGCCAAAGCTGATATCCTACCCCTCCCGCACATCCCTTCTCATTGGGCTGTTTTTCTGTATCCGCCGATGCATTTCATAGCGGTCCCGGAACTCCAAAGAGGACCCCATCGGTTTTTGCGCAATCGGAAACAGGGAGCTGTGTAGAGTGGAGGAGAAGGTGGCGGATGAGCAGGAGGGTTAGCAAGAAGAAATCGAGGATAAGGGAGGAGGAGGACGAGTACGATCAGCAGCAGCAGGAGCTGGAGTGGAAGGAGCGGGAGCAGCAAGAGGACCAGGGGAAGGCGGAGGAGGGGAACTGAGGGCGATGACGAGGAAAAAGGACTTGGATCCAGAAAAAACGGCCCGCGCTGGGGCGAGGGTGCCATTCTGAACGACGGGAGCAAACCGCCAATCCGAACATGGGGTCCACGCTGCAGCGGGAACATCATTTTGAAACACCGTCGTCGTCATCGTCGTCGTCGTCGTCGTCGTCCCCCTTCAGGGTCGGCGGGACCGGCCGTAAAGCCTTCAAGCCACTTCTGAAACCCTGTACCACGAAAAACAATACGCGGAGAGGGCCAGATATCTTCCAGACAGAGTTAGGGGAGAGAGGGGAGCTATATTCATAATGTGTAATGGTGGTTGCGAGCGGCGGGGATGGGAGGGAGACGGGAAGAGGGGTCAGAGGGTAAGAGGAGAAGGAATACGGTGACATGTATAAAGCGAAATATAACAATTTTGCAAATACTTGTATATCAGTACACATAGACAGAAACTTTTTTTTGTTAATACATTATTTTTATACATATCTGTACGTCTGTATGTATGTATGTTCCCCAATCAGTGCTTGCACTGAAGGGGTCCTAGTGGAGATTGAAAGATTTGGCGAAAATTCTGGGCCGATTTCGGTAGGCCGCCGGGTTCCTGGGTTCCTGGTTCTGGGTTCCCGGGTTCCGGGTTGCTGGTTCTGGGCCGATGTCGGTGGGCGGCGGAGTTCCCGGGTTTCATTATCCCGGATTCCTAGTCGATCTTCTTATCGATCGGTCTCACTATCGATCTCGTTATCCACCTCCCTATCGATCTCACAATCAATGTCACAAACGATTTCATTATCGATCTCACAGTCGCTGTCACTATAGATCGCACGAGCGACCTCACAATCGATCTCACTGAACCGACTTCACAATTGGTCTCACGATCGACCTTACTATCGTCTACACAATCGATCCCACTATTTGAAGGCCATCCACTGATTTGGCTTTTCTCTGGTGTAAGATGTATGTATGTACGTACGTACGTACGTATGTATTCAATAATGTCTGTATGCATGCATGATGGTATGTTTGGATGTACGTGTACGCATATATATATATGTATTTACATATATATAACTATATACGTATGTATACATGCAGGTATGCATGCAGGCATGTATGTAAGTATGCATGTCTGCATCTATGTATACATGTATATACATCTGTTTGTGTGTATGTATGTGTGTACATCTGTTTGTGTGTATGTTTGTATACATGTTTGTATGCATGTATGATTGTGTGTGTGTATGTATGTATGCATGCATGCATGTCTGTATGTATGTATGTATGTATGCATGTCTGTATTTCATGCATGTGCTTACGTATTTATGTACGTGTATATGTGTAGCTGTATGTATGTATGCATGTCTGTACATTTGTATGTATGTGTGCATGTATGTATGCACATACGTACGTACGCACGTTTGTAGGTTTGTTTACTTGTTTGTTTGTTTGTTTGCATATACGTATGCGTGTTATTATAAGAATATGTGTTTATACATTTACACGCCTGTGCTTATACGTGTGTATCTATATACATATTTATGTTTGACCGCCACCGTACTAATGCATGGTCCCGAATGGGCTCTCGTCGGGGTCTTGAAGCCGTTTTCGAATAGTTTTGAGGGCCTCCTGGGCCGTCTTGGGGCCCTCTGGGGCCGTCTTGGTCCCTCTGGGCGATCTTTTGGGCCTCTTGGGGCTGTTCTGGGGGCCCAGTTTGGGCTGTCTTTGGGCCTATTGGGTCGTCTGGAGCCCCTCCAGGAGCCTTCTTGGATGGGTCCGTCTTCGGCCCCTCTTGGGCCGTCCTGGGTCGTCTTGGGCGCCCATTGGGCCATGTCGGGGCGATCTCGGAGGCCTCTTTGGCCGTCTCGAGCGCTCTGGAGACAGAGAAGCCGAGTAGGTGAAAATGGCACCGAAGCCAAGACTTACACATAATTTGTGCCTCCCCGGGGTCTCTTGGGAGTCGTCTTCGGGCCCCCTTGGGCCATCTGGGGACCCCGTTTGGCCGTCGAGCGGCCATCTTGGGTCCATCTTGGGCTATCTTGGTCCCATCATGGCCGTCTTGGGGCGCTCGTCGTACCTTCCTGAGACCTCCTGGGCCCTCCGGGGTCGTCTTGGGGCCATCTGAGGCTGTCTTGGGCCCTCCTGGGGCGCTCGCGAATCAGCCTCCCCAACCGCACCCGAAGTTGTGCTGGATCAGTTTACGATGTATACAGGTCCTCATTATATTCGTACAGGTCCTCATTTGGTTCGTACAGATGTATGTATGTGTATATCTATACTCCTCCAGTCCTGTTCCTTATGAATCGCTTCTCCCTGTCGCACCCCGAGGCTAATTTTTGGGGCGGGCTGGGCGTCTCGCCTAAGACTTCCTCACCACTTATGACCCTGAAGCTTGCAAAATGACAACAGTTTCACAGATGGAGGGCGGGTGTTTTTCAAAATGTGGCTCTCGCTGTAGCGCCGCGCACATTTGTTATCGACATTTGCAAGCACTTCACGGATTGAGGACGGGTGTTTGTCAAAATGCAGCTCTCGCCTTGGTGCCGCCCACACTTGTTTTAAACATGTGCAACATTTTCACGGATTTACGGCGGGTGATTTTCAACATGTTGCTCTCGCCTCAACGCCGCGCACATTCGTTTTAAAAGTTTGCAAGTGTTTCACGTATTGAGGGCGGTTCCTTTTCAACATGTGGCTCTCGCGCGCCGCCCACATTCGTTATTTAGATGTGCAGGAGTTTGATTCCCATGGTTAGCAAACCAGAGATGGTGTTTTGGAAGGATTCAGGATTATGAAGGTGCAACAATTACGCTGATTCGCGGTGTCCAAGTCCTAAGAATAGTGTCAACAGTCAGGCTGATCCGTGGCGTTGGAATCCCGAAAACAATGTTTTGGCATGCTTCAGGGTCTTTAAACGGTTGTCTTCCAACGAGGCAGTTCCCTCAGTGGAAATGAGCCGTCCTAGGGGCCTATGAAGAGGGAGCTTGGAGGGAGGGCTTATTCAAATATCGTTGATGACTCTTGGGTTCCACTGGTCCTCCTCCTCCGCCTCCTCTTTCTCCTCCTCCTTATCATCTTCCACCTCCCTCTTCCCCCTCCTTCCTGCTCCCTCCCTCTTCCCTCCTCCTAGCTCTGCTCCCCCCTCTTCTTCCCACCCGCTCTCGCTTCATCCC